CTGCCCTAAAATCTTGGCTGCGTGCCCATACTCAACAGGCAGGTAGCCGCGCAACCAATTTGCGCAACCCAAAAATTGCTGAATGTGAAGCTTCTCCCAGAGCGGGGGAAAGTCAATCACCGCCTGACAACGCTCTTCGTCAGGCGAACTCCCGTCCCGCCCAATGTTGTGTCCTAGGAGCTTACCTTTGGAGACACAAACTTCGGCCTTACTGATCCCAAACGAGAACCCAAACAAGATTGACTTATCTAGGAAACCCTCTAAGGAAACGAGGTGGTCGAGGAGGTGCGGGCACGCCTTAGGGTGCCGGGCGCGCATATCTGCCGCGAGCTGCTCATAATAATAGTCCGTTGGAGGCTCCTCGATCATCTTATCGATGTCCCAGCTCTCCACGATATGATAGCTCGGGCAGCGCGCCGTGTCGACCGCGTCTGCTGGGCGCACAGCATCACTTGCGCCCCTTTCAGCCGTGGCCGATCCCTCACGCCAGCCAGCCCAGCGTGGCCCCTTGCGCGTCCTAAAGACCGCGAGGCGTTCGGTGACGGGAACCTCATCGCTGCACGCAACGCTTTCCGCCACACGCAAATCCCTCGTGTCCCAAAGACGCCACGCCTCACCTGCGCGCTGAAGCAAGCACGTTTCGTAAGGCGCCTTCTCGACCGCCACGGTCCCAAGGTCCTTCTGCGCAGGGCGCCTACCCCACACAGACGCGTAACCACCTGGCGCCTCCCACCAGCTGTCGACGCTTGGAAGGTGGTCCAAGCAAGTAAGCACTCCAGGCTCCTCAACAGGGCGCCCAACCGGGCCGCTCCCGCCCCACACCGAAGCGAGAACAGTCACCGCAGCAAGGACCGATAGCACACCGATCCTGGCGCCGGTACGCAGCCGCCCAAAGGACCGCGCACACGAGGAACAACCTTGGAAGCTTCTTGCCGCGGCCCTGGACGCGGACCCGCAAGCAAAGCACGGGTCATGGTCAACCGAAGCAACGGCGACCCCACAATCCGCACATGCCTGCGGAGACGGCTCTGACTCGAACACCGTCTCAATCGCGCCACAACCACAAGCCGCAGTGCTGACGAGGCCGGAACGCACTTCCGCAACAACCTCGCCCGGCTGGAGAGAGTGATCACACTCTTGGGCTGCAAGCAAAACAAACCCTTTACCCTCTCCTGTGGGCCAGAGACCTGGCACAGCCTCAACCCCACACTCAACCGGAAGCACAACCTCGGACAGGGATCCCTCTGCGGAGACTCCTGCCTCCCGCACGACTGGCACCAGCACCCCATCACCTGGCGAGAGCTCGAGCGGCTCTTCCCCGTCATAGCGGAGAAGCTCACGACTTCCGCCCCCAGGCTCGGTGCATGACGCGTCGTCCAGGCTTGACAACCGCGCTTCAAAGGCATAGGCCCTGTCCTTCCGAGTCCTACTGTGATCTTCACATCTGGGCATCCTGATTCCCAGCGTGTCGAGGACATGAAAGTCGGGACCCGGCCTGAATCCCAAGCCCATCCTTCCGGCGCAGTCCAGCGCTCTGCCGCCAAGGATAAGTCCGTGCCAATCGGACGTGCCCCTGGCTGCGATTTTACACCGCACGAAAATCTCGGTGTTGGGGCGACAATCGTCCGCCGTCCTGCCTTCCAGCAGCGTGACGCGCAAGACTGCTGCCCCTTTCAAAGGAACTGGGGCTCCCGAAGCGATTCCATGCACATATTCGGGGTGGACCCACTTCTCAAGTCTCACGACCGGAAAGCCAGGATCCTCAGTGCCGATCCCAAGCTCTGCAGCCCGGTTCATCATGCCTACCACGAGTTCCTCAGTCACGTGGTTTGCGCCGGCGCAACCGTCAAGCATGCACTCGACTTTACGGTCGAGGACCTGGACCACCGTTCTGTACTGGTAGCCTCCTGGCTCGTTGTCCGCCAGGTTCCACCAGTCCTTCGGCAGATCGTCCAAGGTGGCGAACTTGTCCCGCCCGCCCTTGCTTAACGGAAGCGCGTGCTGCTGCACCGCGGCGTGTCCTGCGGCTCCTAAGACGCCTGCCTGGACGCCTGAGCTGCCTATCTGGACACTGAACGCGGCGAAGGGGTTAGACATGGAAGCACCGGAGGGCGGGGCCCAGTTGGCAGGCAAGGCCGGCGTCCCTCCTGAGGTCGTCAGGTTGTGGACCATGTCGCAGCTGGCTCCTTTCTTGCACGACCCATTCTTGGAGAAAAAGGGGCAAACAGTGCCTGGTGGCTTTGCCGCGCCTTTGGCCGCAGCCTTAGGCTTTGCGTTGGCTTTTGCTTTGCCACCTCCCTTCCCTTTGCCTTTACCTTTCGCAGTGGCAAAGGTTTGGTCACCCTTCTTGGCCGCGAGAGCTTTTCTGCGAAGCTCCTTGTCGTGGCTGTACGGGCAGGCATCCCCTTTCGGGCAATTCCCATGATCGCGAAAGTGGAAGCAGATCTTCTTGTCCGCTCCTTTGCCAGCTCCCTTCGACGTAGCAGCATACGTCTGGTCCGCGCCAGCTTTGGCCGCGGCAGCTGCTCCTTTCGCAGCAGCCTTCGCAGCGGCCTTGAGACTCTTAATCTCCTTCTGAGCCTCAGCCAGCGCGACCGCCGGGTCCGCGCTCTGCGAACCGGTGGCCGTGTACACCGAGTGGGAAACAGCCCTGTGCGCTGCTTCTCTCTGCTTGTACTCCAGAACGACTTTGTGGCTCTCCTCCCAAGTCTGCGGTCCTCGCAACCCGCCATCCTTGGGGTCGCCAGGCCACAACCTTTTGTCGTTCCGGATCTCCTTTTGGAGATAAGGGGGCATCTTGCGGAGGTATGAGAGATACAACTCTCGAGGGGTCTTCCCGAGACCTACTGCCTCAAGGTCCGCGATCGAGGCCTCAAACAAAGGCTCGAATTGGTGGCCTGTGAGCTTACCCTTAGCGAGAGAGGCGTGCTCACCATCCACGCGGACTTCTCTTTCCTCCCGCGATTCCCCGAACATCAAGTGTTTGTTCTTGATGCGGTCATACACCGCCTGTGGATCTGAGAGAACCTCTCCCGATTTCCACGCTGCGCGGTACGCGTTCGTGTACGTCTTCATGCGCGAGCCGCGGCAGCGCCCGCGTAGCGCTAACAGCTTTTCGCGCGCACTCATACCGCGACAGTTGTTGGCCAGCGCGCAGACGTCCTCGAACTCCTCGTAGAACAGGACAACGTCTCGCGCGTCCGACTTGTCGTCGGTCAGCGTCGGCCACGTGAGGTCAGTTTTGACCGTAGTTATGGAGCTTTGCCCGCCCCTCTGCGCTAACGCTTCTTTCAGCGCCTCAGTTTGGGCGGCGAGTGCGGCGGCGAGATCGCCCGCCGGGTGTTGGGACCCGGTCTGCGAACCTCCGCCGTCTGAACCTCGCTTCAGGGCTTCTATCTCCATCTCTAGCGCAGCAAGCTTTGCGCGCAAAGGGGAATCGCCGTCCGTCGCGCCCAGGACACGGGCCGCGGAAGGACCACCTGCAACCTCAGCAGTGTGCAAACCTCCACGGTCCAATCCTACCCCCAACCCACTTGCAGTCGCAGGCTGTGGGAGCCCTGGGGAACGCGGCCCCACGGCTTCAACTGGCACATCGGACGGGGAGCTCCAAACCTTCTCTTGGCTCGAGCTTTCTTTTCCCCCTAACGCGAGGATAAGCTCCCCGATGCATTGGATTTCGCGCTGAATCTCCTCTGCGTCTTCGGGGTCCTCGCCACCGCGCAAAGCCGCGACCGAGAACCTGGTCCGCAGCCGACGGACCATCTTCGTAGGATGCCAGTCCCCGCCTATCTTGGAGAACTCATCCGCAAGGAGGGTGGCTTTGGTGCTTAAGGCGTCAAGGTCACGGGAGCTCACCGTGACAATCCGCGAAACGCGCGTCAAGCCTGCAAGCCCTCTGCGGTGCCTGGCACTGAACCTGCTGTCGACGGCGGACCGGACGGTCCCGCCGGGCGGGACCCTGGTGCCGTAGCAGGGACATAGGCAGCACCGGTAGGGACCATGGCCAGCTCCCTAGCCGCGGCGCTGACGTCCACCCGCGGCGGACTGTCGCCTCCAGCGCCCGAGGCCTCAGGGACTAGCTCGGAGTCCTCTTCTTCTTCCTCTTCATCCTCGTCCTCCTCTTCGGCGTCATGGAGGAACTTCATGACTTTCCGCCAGAGAGCCGCCTCTTGCTCTGGCGTAGTGCTGACCCCATCCCGCTTGGACAATGGACGGCTGCCAGTCTCCCTACGCCACTTAAGCCAAGCGACGTAGCTCATCCGCTCGGGATAGGGAACGTCTCCACCCTCGATAGCTTCGAGGAGGGTGACGCCCTCAGCCTGACCTGCAACCTCTGCGGACATTGCCGCAACACAAGGCGAAAAGCCGCGCCTTGGTTAGCAGGCCGCAGGCGTGGCACGCGAAGCGCCGCGCCTTGGTTAACAGGCCGCAAGCGTGGCACACAGTCCACGCGTCCAGGTCACGGACCGCGACAGACAAGCAAAGCAATGCTTGCCCACTCGGGCCGTAGGCACAAGAGCTGTACGTTTCCCAGAACAGCCCCCAATTGTGAAGTCGACCAGCACTGGACTTGCACTAAGCCAATGCAATCACAGCCCGGTCACGCTGTTTTACGACTTCGTGAGTCCAAGCACTTGTGCAGCTACGCCTGAGTGCGTCCGGTCGGACCGCACAGCAACCTAGGAGCTACTGTACGACTCTACCGTGCTCAAAGGCACAAGCTCGGTACTTGAGCCAAAATATTGGCATTGTTACGAATTGCAAAACTCTACATGCAAAGGAAAACTACAAGGTGGTCTGCCGAGTCCTAATGCATCACAGAGCAGAAGATGCATATGCACTCATGTCAGCTCACAATTTATATTTATATTTATGTTTATATTTATATATTTATATGTTTATATTTATATATATATATATATATGTTTATAGATATATATATATATATACCTAAACATACATAATATAAATATATATATATATGTATATATATGTATACTTTATGTGTCTGTTTCTGATTGAAAACCTGTAGTCGCAGCGGCAGTTGCTTCTTTAGGCCGAGCTACATCGGAAACGTCCAGGTTCACCTGGTCCACTGCGGGTAGCCCCGAAGCTGCCAGCGCCAACATAGTGTGGTCCTTAGGTGGGGCTTATCTTAGGGAGGGTTTAGGAAGTTTCGGGTTTCGGTCTTAGGGTTTCGCGATGTCTAAGGCTTTTGGGTACAGGGTTTCGGGGGTTCGTCGCCTCTCTCGGCCCCCGACCCCCGTCTCCTCTGAGGCATGGAAGTCCGGCGTGACCTGGGGGGATGTAGCGTGGCTTGAGGCTCTTAATGAGGCTTGGTGGTTTGAAACGCTTGGGATCTTGGGGCTGCTCCCTCAAAGCACCCGTGCCTCCACGACAGGGGTCCAGCGTCTGCAGAGCTTGGCGCAGAGGAGCGAGAGCTCGGAGTGTGTCAGGAAGCAGTTGGTGTCCTGGCAAGATGTTCTCCCAAAACTCCTCAACAAAACCCTGAAACCACGACAAACCTACCCCCCCTAAACCCTAAACCCTAAACCGCAAACCCTAAACCCTATACCCTATACCCTCTCCTGGATCCCCCGAGCTTGAAGCTCGTTGGACACCAAGTCCAGGTGCGATCCGCGGATGCCGCCCCTGAGTGCATGTCCCATAAGCAAGCAAGCAAGCAAGCAAGCAAGCAAAACCCTAAACCCTGAACCCTGAACCCTGAACCCTAAACCTCTAAACCGGCCTTCTGCGGGCGAATGCGAAACTCGAAAAGAACAGCATAAACCCTGAACCCGAAGATGCAATGATGCACAAAAGATTGTAAGCCAGCGGCTTCAGGCATCGCAGCTTGATGTCTGCGATGTTCCACAGGCGTTCCCACGTCCGCTCCTGGCGCTTCGGTGGGTCCGAAAACGGATCAGTACCAAATGCTGACATCACAGGGCAGAAAAAGAAACAAGAGATTTGGCTATTTTTAAGCGCGTGAGCATTGTGAACAGTATGAAGACCTTCGCGCTGCTCTTGTGCAAGAATTGCCAGAACAGGGATACCCCGCAAAGACCCCAAATGATATTAGAATCCTGTATAAGGAGCACCTAATCCTTGGGAGACCACGATTCCGTATAGTCTCGACCCGCCTCGGCCGCGGGACGCCGGCCGGCCGCCCGCGCCTCCCCGGCCGCCAAATGCAGGGAGTCCAACTCCTCAACGACCTCGATGTCTTGGCGGCTTTCTGCTGCACCGTTGCCCTTGCTACCAGTCAATTTGCTTCCAAGAATAACCAAAAGTGTGAGGTAAGCACATCGTCCACCTCCCTCCCCACATGGAGTCTAAGGCCCCGGACCCTTTGCAAGGCCCGGTCCAGGCCCGTGCCGAGGAGGTAGGCCAGGCACCTTGGGGGCCATGGACCAGCAGAAGCTGGACATGGGCTAGACGGCTACCCCTGCTGGGCCCTTCTCTGGGGGCAAGGCCAGAACCCACAGAAGCCATCGTCCTCAAAGGAAGGAATGCCCCCAAAAGGGCGATGGACCCCCCGCCCCCCCCCCCCCCCGGCCCCTCGCATGCTGGCTGCTGCTTCAAGGCTTAAAGCGGCCTTTAATTGAACTCTGCCGGCCTCCACCGCCACAACCCCACACCGCCGACGTAGCTCCTTCAAAAGCAGGTGCCCTGTGCGAACGTAGTGACTACTCGCGTAAGAAGTGCAGCAGTCGAGAACTGGTAGGGCAAGCACACGAACTTGACAGGCTCGCAGCTTTAATGCTGCGGGATACAACCGGGGAACTGTGGCCGACGTGTGTGGCCAGCACATCTCATGTTTGTCAGCTCGCGCCTCCGGTGTTCCCGGCACCGCCACACCCCGCTCTGCGGCGCCGATCGCTCTCAGGAAGACCTGAGAGACGCATGTTTCAGATCAGCCAGCGAGTCCGAACTTCCGAGAATACAGAAGAGAAGCTAAGGCATGACACGAGAAAGTCCAAGCACGCAAGCACGCAAGAAGCAAAGCGGCAAAGCGCCCTATATCCCTTTGGCAACGAGCGCGTTGACGACACAAACGTGGAATCAACGCAGCAGCAACAAAATATGTAAGACAAGAGGGTCTGAGGGATGCATAAGACACCCCAAACTTCCGAAGACTAAGAGATGTACCCAATTTGTCATGAGTCATATCTCTGTGTACACGAAGGTTGCTCAAGATTCGATACTTCTCCCTTCTGAGGTTTTTGTAAATCCAAAGATGTGTGCCCTAATTGGAACTACTAGCTAGTCTTGCCATTAATCCGCCGAGGCCTCGGGCCGAAGGTGTATAGGTGTGCCCTAATTGGAACTACTAGCTAGTCTTGCCATTAATCCGCCGAGGCCTCGGGCCGAAGGTGTATAGGTTGTCAGAACAGGCACCCCCCTCCAAATCCTCCCCGACCCTAAGCCACTTTTCGGCCCCCTTTTTTTGCTTCAAATGGGTACCCCCCCCTAGGAGAGGAGGGTCCGCAAGCGGATGTCTCCTACCCCCCCCCCACCCCCCCCCTACCCCCCCCCCCCACCCCCCCCCACCCCCCCCTACCCCCCCCCCCCCCCTACCCCCCCCCCCCCCCCCCTACCCCCCCCCTACCCCCGCCCCCGCCCTTTTTTGCCCTCAAATGTGTAGGGACCAGAGGCAGTTGAACCCCCCACCCCCCCCACCCGGCCTGACAAACGGGCCTGAAGCCACCAAAGCCTTAGCTGCCCCCCCCCCCCCCCCCCCCCCCGCCTGGCGAAGCCTACGATCAATGCAAGCCGAACCGTCTCAACCCTCACCCTTGCGCCTTGAACCTTGAAAACCCTAAACCCCAACAGCGTGAATCTTGAGCCCTAAGCTCTCAATCCGAAACTAACCCTCAACCCTAAACCCCAAACCATAAACCATAAACCCGGAACCCTAAACCCTCAACCCAACCCTTATTGCTTGGGGTCCAGTCACCATGCTCACGCGGATGCGCTGGGCCGGGCCGAGGCGGGTCGCGTAGCGTTAAAATTAATGCTACTACTTTGATAATCTTGCTATTCATATTCTCTCATTATTGCTACTTACATTCTACCAACAACACCCCCCCCCCCCTTCCCCTCGCCCCATGTAGAAGCCAAAACCTCAGCCGGTCACGGCAAAGCCCGCTCTCTCGAGCCACTGTCGAGGGCTCACCTTGCAGACTTAACTGGAGGCTTCCGAAAAAGAGGGTCTTGTACTCTTTCTTGGGAGGCCGACAATACGGATCATTGCTAGTTTGGGTCTATTCGGTGTACCCCTAATTTTGGAAAAACACATGGCAATACCCAACTGTGCTTGGGGGGTTTGCGGCGTTGAAACGTGTCAGGTTCCAGGGGCTTGGGGGTTCGGGTTCTGGGTCGCCTTTAAGAGGTCATACTGCGGAACGTTTTTGCACGTTCACATGAATTCTCGGCCGACATCGGCGGACTGAAGAACCACCACTCCGGAAAGCATCATGCAACCACGTCTCGACGTCGAAGCAAATGTCGGAGTGACAAAAGACCAGATCGCCAGAAACCGAAGAAGCCCCCCCCCCTTTTCCCCAATAAAAGCAATGACTCAGCACTATGAGCCTCCTCCTCGCACGGCCAGGGACTCCCGAACCTCGGGGCACGCTGCGGCGGCCGCTCCGCGGTCCTCAGACACACCGAACTGGGCTCCGGACTTGGGCGCTCGGGTTCTTCAGGACTTGGGAAGCGTTACCGGCTTCTAGCTAGCTCGATCCCCGAACTCCTGCATCTTGGCTTTGCCGGACGCACCCTGAACCGGCTGAGCATACCTGAAACCCATCCAGGAAGAGGTCCTGATGAGGGCCCCCCAGCACTGCTCGAAGTGTCCGTGCACCAAGGGGTCCCCAAGCAAGAACTCTTTGCCAACCTCAGCTCAGAATTCCTTCAGAGGAACCACGAAGCGGCCATGAGAGGGCGACTCATTTGCCAGCCCAGCTGGCTTTCTGGAGCTTCCGGCCTCCACGCGAACCCAGGCAGGATCGCAGCCCCGGCTCCGGAGTCGAAAGTTCCTGTCGCCATCCTCCCGATAGCACAAAAGGGGGGGGAAGCTCTTCGGGGTGCTTCGTCTCTTGGGTTTTGGGGGGGGGGGGGGAGTTTGAGGTAAGGGAGCTTGACTCATCAACCTGAAAGTTCCAAAGAGCCGATGCCGGCAAAATTAAGAACGTGCAGCGTGCAAAGCAAAAGCCAGGGCCTTCTGATCGCCTTTTTCGAAGGAGCCCACGTAAATCCTCAAGGTAGAGGGGTCGAGCAGGGGCTGCAGCCAGCAAGAACACTTCAAGGAATTCGCCGAGAGCAAGAGCACATGCAAAGGCTGCGGGGGCACTCTCGGGCTCGGTCTTTGGTGCGGCGCCTGTATGGCCCTTCTGCTCGTGACCCATCGCCACCGCCTGAATTTAACCGCAAAAGGAACCCTCAGCTTCCCACTATCACTGAACCGCAGCAGTCACACGAACTTGGTGCAGGGCCTCCGGAAACGATCCCCAGCCATTGCCTTCGAGAACAGACGAAGAAACTACGAAGCCCCCCCATCGACTTCGGCACGGCGCCTGCATGCACATAGAAGACGCTCTCCGGATCCTGCGTGCCATCAGGCTGCAAAGTTGTCCCAAAAATGCTCATGCACTTTTTGCTTACATTCACAGCTCCATCACAAAGCTTGCTTGTGACAGTCCTGCTGACAGTTCGGCTCATCTGTCAAGACCGTCATGGCGCCCCAGCTGCGGCGGTCGCATCCGCAAAAGTCCTCCTAGTTTTTTTGACAAGTCCCAAGTCCTCAGCTAAGTTCTGGCCTACTATCCAGGAGCTTTGCATTGCGATGTGGACTGGCTGTCGAGGCTGTTCCCAGTGGAAGTTCCAGCAAAATCGTTCTGCAGATGGCTGCAAACCCCAAGAAGACATAAGAAGATTTCCCCAGCCCCAAAACTCAGGAAGCACGTCCTGCTGAAGCCAACATGTGCGGAAGTGAAAAAAGGCATTGCTTGCAGTTCCTCTGCTTGGCAGACAGCGGTTCCTTGCCCCGCGCCAGCTTTTCGTGAGTGAGATTTCCGGATCCTCTTCTTTTTTATCCACGGCCATCCACGAGCTTCCACAACCGTCACCCCATACCGTCGGTGCACTGCTGCGCAGAGTGCGCTGCTCGCCGCATTGCCCTTTCTGCAACGTGGAGAGGCGCGAGCTGCACCCGTCAGCCCTTTGACTGTTTCCATGACTCTGATCTGTGCGATAGTGGGGCGCTTTGAGTCTGAAATTGCTGGTGATGGCTCTGCTGTGTAGGATTTCGTACATGTGGATGGTCTGTGGGCATGCACACAGACAACGAACGGCCGACCCCATCAGCCGTCGCGCTGCCTTGGCGCGTTCCTTGGCAGGGAGAGCAAGCAAGACGCGCCGTGTCCAGCTCTAGGTGCAAGCCATGTCTGTGTGTTTGGCACATCGCTCCCAACACCTTGAAGCTCCACCCACTCTCGTACGACAGTTGCCTACACAGTTGGGTTTGCAAATTCAACCCCTTCCGAGCCGAAGATCTTGATGATGTCATCGACTCGGATGATCATCTCGGCCGCCTGCTTCCAAATGGTAAGATGGGCTTTCTGCCACGAGCCGCCCCAGCAAAGCAAGCCCAAGAGGTTAGAAAAAGATGGCAGAAAGACTCCTAAGCACAAGGAGCCGGAAGGAAGTGCAACAAAGGGGGGAAATTCCACTCAAGTCTCCTCAACCCCTCAACCCCTCAACCGCTCCACCCGCTCCCTTGACCGGCCTCTGCTGCAGAGCAAAGCTGCGACATTTTGCTCCTGAAAGACTCCATGATGCCCAGCCTGCCAGGCGCAACGGCGAGTAGGGTGTCAAGGGGCTTCGAGCTTGGCATCAAGCTCAAAAAAATCACGACACCCCCCAAAGGGCCCCAGACCACGGAACAAAGATCAAGCCCCAGCCATTCCGTGGGTGCTCCGGGGACCCGGGCTGCTTCATGTCTGCTACGCTCCCCGAGTTGAACTCGAGGCCCGTGGAGTGCTCTCCTCTCAAGAGCTAAACGAGCACAAAGGGTTTTAAGGGCCGTCTTAAGGCGTTCAGGGTTTACACGGGTCTGGATGGGTTTAGATGGCTTTAGATGGGTGTGGGGAGCTTATGGTTTAAGAGCGGAAGTTCAGGGATGCTTCGAGGGTTTTCTCTGACCTGGGGTGTTGTTCGAGGTGGGTCAGGGACGCACCGTGCCTTTGGCGTGCGCCGCACGCAGCTGCCCCGCCAGCTCAGCCGAGTCCAGGCCTTGAAGCGGCAGTCGAGGCGGAAAAAAAAAGTATGCGGGGGTTGCTCGTCGCAGTGAGCAGAAAGCCTCACCGCGGGGTTGGTCTAGTGAGGGAGCTTCATGGGGATCGGAGGACTCCGAGCATTCCGAGGGCTCAAGGGCCCAAGCCGGCATTGTCAGCGAGGATGACTGGAATCTGCCTTGGAGCTCGCAGCCAAGTCTCCCGGCAAAAGTTCTTCGCACCTCTAGCCGCACCAAGCCGAGGCACATCAAAGCCTTGCCGAAGGCCTCCATGGCCGCGCTCTCCTTGCCACCGACCTCTCTGCTTCGCGCGAAACGAGCCGAACGCGATCTTTCCCGGTATTTTGCGGGATCAATGTGCGGGCCACACCTCGGTGAGCTTCTCCTGCACCGCCTGCGACATGGCCTCGAAGAGAACCCGATGTCAAAACCCCTACAGATGACTTGCAAGGCCCCTTGCTTTCCGGGTCGACATGTCCCTTCACCAGTTCCAGCCCTTGGGCCCATGCCATTTCCATCGCTCCACCGCCCCAGACCTATGCAGAATGCAGAGGCGAGCCGGATTCTGAGAACCGCTGCCCTCTGGCAGTTCTGAACGAGCTGTGGACATCTGCAGACACAGGGAGCTGAGGTCAAGGCGACGCGCGTCTCCTCCAAAGATTTTTGTTGCTTCAATGAGGTCCCAAGCAGTTGGAAACCAAGCAGTTGGAAAGCAGCCCCACAAGACCCAGCAAGAAAGCAAGCATTGTGGGATCCTGCACAGTCTGGAAGAGGACCGCCAGGGCATCATGAAGAGAACGCTCGGCCTGAAAAGCGACAGCCGACTGACATTCGAAACGGCATTGCTTTCAGGTCATCTCTCTCTACTCACGGCAAAGAACGCGAGAAAGAACGGAGAATGCGAACAGGTGGAGAGGCTGACACCTGTGTGGAAACACAGTTTTCAGGGGCCTCGTCCAAAACGTGGGTGGAGCTGCCCCGCAGCCTCGTCGAGCAGCTTCGAAGAATTGGTCCGAGTTCCAGCGGAGGACGTATCACGAGCTCCCGGCACAATGGTGCAGGCCTCGCCTTTGGAGCAGCCAGAAAACCTGATGCCCATAACAGACATCTCAATTTGAGAATTACGGTGGCTCACCGAAAAGCTCCGGTAGGCTACAGTCATGGCACCCCACCCCAATGCTTTTTTGCCAGCTCTGAGTACCCAGCTTGACGACTTTGTCTTCCCCTCAGCTGAGCAATGCTACGAGTACCCGGGCACCAGAGTATCTCGCCCTCTTGAGGGAGAGCGGGAGAGGGGGGCAAGGGAAGAAGAACACAAAAAGCAAGGCGAGAGAGGAAGCGAGGGCGGCACCGATCATGATCTCTTCGATCTTCTTGCACGTGCCAAGGGTCGTCATCTCCGGGTTATCAAAAGTGGACACCTACGTCAAGGAGCCACATTTTGAGCAAAGAACTGGGAAGCCACGGAGCTTGCATGGCTGTGCCGTCATCCGACACCATCAGGTCCCACTTCCCTGTCCGGCGCTGGGTATCCGCACAATGTCTGCTCCGAGAACAGCAGCCAAGCGCTCAGAGCCATCGAAATCCTTAGCATGAAAAGGTAAAGTAAGTTTTGTCTGGCACGTAACTTGACTCAACATCACACAAGTTCCCGGTCCAAATATGCACTTTGCGCCGAGCATTTCCAAAGCCTTTGGTTGTGTGGGTCTCGTCTTGGCGCTTGCCATACCAATGATTTGGGAAGCGACTTCGTTTCTAAAGGCTCCATCAAGCACTAGCACGACCTAAAAAACGACATGTCGAATGTAGCTGATGTCTTCTGGTGCTCTCTGTGGCGACACAGCGGGTGTCTACCTTCCAGAGCAATCCGGCGGGGCATGCGAGCCCGCAAGGGCACTTTCGGTGCCATCCCCAGTTTTGTCTCAACATGCATCGCTCTGCAACGAACGATGAGAATGCATGAACATCTCCAGTAAAGTCCGACGGCTTTCAGAGCATCAGGGCAAATGAAGCACATCCTCAGCCATGGACAGAGTGCTCGATCGCCATGACCCCAGACTCCTTGAGCAGCTGATCCTGGGAGTTTTCAGGTGGTTATGGAGTCCAGGAAGCACTCTGCAAGATCTTTTTTGGCTTCGAGGGCGCTTTGAGTTTCCTGGCTCGTGCAAGTCGAGGCGCCGAGGAGTCCCAAAAGAGCATCGCTGGTATGCTGGGATGCTGGGATGCTTGGGTGCTGGGGCCCAGGCTGGATAGTTGTAGATCAACTGGCGGTTGATGAAGACCTTTTGGCATCATGTGACATCATGTCACGAGAGACAGGTGGAAAACAACCAACGAATCCCATCTCACTTTCAGAGCTCGCAACCACGTCTCCGAGCCCCCTGCATTGCACTTGTGTGCGACAATCTTCTCTATCTTCGTCTTCATCTTCTCCTGTTCAGGGAAGATCACCCCGCTCCAACTGGTCTCTTCAGATGTGTCGGTCCCGGTTGGGCCTTCTCAGCTTGTTCGATCTCCGCCACTGCTTCTAGGGAGTCTACCTTGCACGCACATCAGGTGGCAGGTGGGCCCTGATGCGTTCAAGCCCTGCTCGGCGTCACAGGGGTTTATCCTGCCTTGACGCGAGCACCATAGATCTTGATTTTGTCCGTGTCCATTTGGCAGTTTGCCACTAGAACCTGACACTTGCAAGTTGACTTGCAAGGCAATTCGAGGAACCCAGCGGCTTCGCCACAGCCCGAAACACTGCGCGCGTGAAGACTGAACACCGACTTGATACTTCCTCCACCCACTTCACTTGCCTTGCAATCTTCGAGCAGCTTCTTATGGCCTGCGCACATCGGCTCGGTACCACTTCTCGGACACAGAACTCGAGGCTCCGGCCAACACCAATGCGCTTCTCAAGGATGAAGCCCTGACGAAAAAGGCGGCGGCAGAAAGGTTTCGGCTGTTCTTGGCACGCCCCTTGTGCTCCCTTTGAAGCCTCCTCCAGAAAGGAGTCCTTGAGGGAGGCGCCCGGCTTTTTCAGCACCTGTATCCCAAGTCTTCCATATCATCTGTCGAGGCTTCTTGAAGTGCTGGGGCCGATGTCTTCACTTGTACCCTCGGCCTGGATGTAGTCCAGATTCGGCCTCTCACAGGATACGCAGAAACACAGAGACAACACGCGCACGAGAAAGGGGGCCCCCTTTGCCGGCCACGGCCTCGGAACCCAAAACAGCGGCTGGGGCCGGCGCTTTCCACCCAGGCGAAGAACTGCATCGACGGCGAGCGTCGCAAAATGGTCCTTCTCGTGCTGCAGCCTGGGGGCGGGAGTTTAAAGAGACACATTCGATCACATTCGTCACCTTTTTCGAGGCCCGCACAGCTTGGAGCTTAAGGTGGTCCTTGCTATCCGCAAGAGATCCTGCAGAGGGGACGGGATGGCCCAGCCTTGGGTGCCACGATCCCGAGCGCTCCTCGCGGAATTTCACGGGATCGCTGCCGTTGTCCATGGCCAGTGCCTCTAGCCTCGAGCTTTAGGAAACGAGGAAACGGGGGCAACGAAGAATTTGCACCTAAACCCCCTTGCAGAAAGGATCTCCCAGAAAAAGGAAGCCTAAACCCTAGACCTAGATGAAGAGGAACCCCCTACATGAAGAACAACCCCACTGTGTCGCAACAATGGCCCAAGCTCCAGACTTGGCACGGGCGGCTGCCAAAGCCATGCGGTAGCCTCGGATGATGACCTCCAGGGCTCTGGAACTGGGTTGGGGAGTTTCAACATTGTTGCAGAAGGTACCGGATTCCGAAACACGGCAAACTCATCTGCCACATGTCCGCCAGAAGATTCTGCTTTCCCACTAACCTCCGACACCACCCGCTGTCTTGCAGCAGGGCCTGCGGGTGCATCTTCGCCTCGACTAGATTCTGCGCCTGGGAGAAAGCTTGTGCCGCAAAAATCCCCGTGACCTCAATAGGTCATTTCTTTGGACCCGGAGCACTGCTACACAACAGCAAGTCTCGTCCTGTGCAGGAGAGAAGGGCTGGCTAAGCTCTGCATATAAGAAATGTACCGTTACTTACGCCCCGGATGCGCTGGTACTGAACCAGGTGTCTCCCTGAAAAGTCAATAGACACCTCAACCTGAAGCTCATCACACTCCCGCTGGCCGGCGGAGCGGCTTGGGGTTGTTGATGGTGTGCAGTGCCTCTCAGGCCCTTGCATTTCGCAGCATCTCAGCAGACAGCACCACCACTGATGTCCTCGGGCAATGCAATCCGTAGCTACAGTAGTGGGCTCGCTGCTTGGCTTCGTTCTTGGCTGCACACGTGCCATCACCACATTCCTGATCCTGCAGGTCAGGCATGCTCAAGTCGCCAACGGCTGTGCACATTGCTTATGGCCCTGATTTGCACCTCTAGAAAAACACACGTCGTACGGGCTCGGCCGCTCTGAGCGGAGTGAATGCAACGCTTCTCAGGCGCCTGTGTCTTGGAGATGTCGACCAAAATCCTGCAAGTGGCAAGAAACCAGGTAACTCACAGTGTTGCCCAAGCATTGCCCCGCCTGGCTGCAGGGTTGTCGATCCACACGGATTTCAGGATGGTGGCTCCATCGTTGGTCACGGTGGCGTCTGCCAAAGCGCCAGCTCAGAGTCTAACTTTGCCCGGCGCGTGTCTCATCACGTGTCTCTAGGCTCCCGGCTGGAATTGGGTCCCTGGCCCATAGGCTGCAGGATCTTGTCCATGCCTATCTCAAAGTCGATTTACCTCATCCCCTCTTGGCCTCTTTAAGACCACCCCACCCTCCTCTCCCCTCGGCCCTTTCGATTTGTGCCTTTTGGTCCCAGGGTGGACTTGACCATGTCGCCGATGGCGATGGCTCCGATGAAGGCCTTCGCGACTGATCAGGACACCACTGCCGGGAGAAAGTCCAAAACTGACATCGAAGAACGAAGAGCAAGACGTGCCACACAGCCTGCAGACGGGCGAATTCGCCTGCCGCTTTTGCAGAGCATACTTTTGCAGCGGCTTTTGCAAACAAGAACTTTTCTGTTGCGCGCCTCGGTCTTCGCCTGCGCCTTCCTTGAAGATCTCGGGGCCCCCAAGAAGTGCCTTGTGCCTGGCAGAATGCTACCCCTCTTCAGCACCACCCCGCTGCCGTCGAGGGTGCAAAAGGGGCCGCAGAGAGTTTCTCGGGACCCTCGCATCGAGTCAAGCATGCCGGGGAGTCATCTTGGAAAAGAGGCTTTAGCTCCAGTTGCGGAGTCTCGGCACGTGCATTGGAGCCTTCCCTTTGAAAGACGCTGCGGACGTAGGTGGCACATGTGTGCACATGTGCGGCAGTCGGCATCGAAAGCCAGCTAAACTTGCATCCGTACCTGAGTTGGTCAGATGCAGAGCTGACAGGGGGGTCCCTGGCAGGAACTCTTTTGCCAGCTCCAAAAGCCGTGTCTGAAAGTCTTTGGAAAGTCTCGCAATACTGAGACCCGCCATGTTCATGACAGGGGTCATTTTGGGGTCCTTGTGTCTTCGTGTTCAGCCATGTCATGACGTGTGCGGGGATCCCAGTTTCTCCGGCTTTCAACGCCCTGAGGAGATCAGTGTCCAAGTTACCACAAGTCAACCCGAGGATACACTCTTGAACTGATTTCGGAATGACAAAGCACAAAGATTCCTTCATCACTTCTTGGACTCTGTAAAATTCCGACTCTCACGCAAGTGGAGTGTCCAAAACCTACTCGCTGCACCTTCCCATTCTATCAGCAGCCATTCTGGAGTGGAGAAGGCATGTGCTGGCCGAGTAGATGCCAGCAGGCGTGCAGAAACAAGAGGCAAGCCGTACATCAAAACTGGCCTGCCGGAATCAACAACTTCATGTGCATGTGAAGTGCCATCGGAGGTTTAGTGTATTTGCAGCGTCGGCCTCACAGCATCTTTAGGACTTCCACTTCGCAAGGCCTGGGCTGCAGGGGCACATTGGCGAGAAGCACGAAAACCCAAAGAGCTTTTCCGTAAGGCCCCGGGCACTCAGAGGCATCCACCGAGCGGAACTCGGACTTGCCGAGGTCGAGCTTCACCTCTCAAACCGATTCTCACCGACTCTCCCCTTCTGTCGTTAGAAACTCTCCAGAGAGCTCAAAGGGGCTTCTCCCCCACGGGAAGGCCTCGTTGCCGAAACGGAAACGAACAGTGTCACCGACAGCAAGGTCCTGCAAGAAGGTTCCCGGCTGCGGCAAACTTGTTCAATAACTCCAGATTCAGCTGAGCTCAGCTGAGTAGAACTTCAACATCTTCCCCCCTAATGCGTCTCCATAAAGCTCAGTGCGGAAGCGACTCAACCCATCTCGACGCATCTCAACCCTTCATTTGGCTTTATCAGGCTTCCCATGCCCTGGAGACTCCGTGCTCGTACCAAACTACCAAACTCAACCACTCAAGAGCTCCGTGGCAATGGGCTTTCCGAAGCGATCCAGAGCGTCCTCACCGACAGCCACAACCTTTCCGGGTGTGCCACAGCACGGCTGAGCACTCCTATTAGACGTGAGCTCCTCTTCCGACAATGGATCCCATGCTTGTCGATTCATCATACGAGAGGCCATATGGGCTGGTGCTACTGCACCGGGCCTCACCGATCGTGGTGTCGGGCTTGGCAGCACCCTGCGGAAATTGAGAGCTTAGCGAAGCCGAATCTTGCCACCGAGAAAACGACCTGCTCCCATCTCGCAATCCCTTGTCATGCATCATGCCGGCAGCCTTTGAGAGTAAGATGCCGCCCTGCGACTCTGCTTTCTCCTCCAGCAGCTTCAGCAGCACCTTCTTTACAGTCAAGTGCGTGCTGTCTTTCAGCGTGGCTCTTTGCAACATCCAGAGCTGTGAAGGCGACCTTTCCCCTGGGCATCTGGATGGTCTCCAAAGTGGGCTCTTCACCCGAATAGCTGAGCAGCACATCGTCATCCCTGACCTTAGCAGGGTGGTGCATTGCCTGACCCGATGGAAGGGGCAGGCCAGGCATGCAAGCGTTCACGCCCGTACTTTCACGCCAGGCAACGACTCAGCCGCGGGCAAGGACGTGATCCTCGTCGTTATACGTTACCTGCATTCCGATGAACAAATGCATGGGCGAGTGTGTCGATACACTGAACAAGAGCAAATGCATACGAGCCTATGCATACGCGCAAACACCCAAGCCGAACAAACTTGGCCAAGCTGCCTCCTCCACACCATACTTACCATGAAGCACTTTCATGCCGACCTCGGTGTTGCATGATGCTGCATGCTTGCGTGACACCGGCTCAAGCGAAGCATCGCCACAGCATCCCGCCTGCGCCCATACGGGCACCTGCACTCCTGTGTCCTGCCATACGATGCCAGTGCACACCAAGCCAAAAACTAACGTTAAGACAGTCCTTAAGAGTACCTTTGTGCGTCTCTGGCGTTTCTGATGCACCTTCGTCAAGCTCTGTGCATGATTGAGTGCGAAATTCTGCACATCTCTGATCTTCGTTGGGTATAAGACGCAAGCAAGGCAAGCATTAAACCCGAAGGCATGAAATGCACTGCGAATTTATGCGCTGCAGCTGACATTCTTAACATTCCTGCTGCAAAAGCAAGTACTGCCGTGCACCTTGGAGGCACTTCGAACACTAACTTTTTTGCTCGGGGTGAGGGCCGATCTGAGATTCTTGGAATATGAAGGTTGGCATCCGACAATGAAATGCACCATGCATGTCTAAGGGTATAAGGTTCATGCGGAATCTGAGTCAGAACACAAAGACATGACTTGGAGACATGGAGTGCAAGCAATGCGCACTTAGGTCAGATATGTGTTGCGAGCAGCCATACAACAGAATCCGAAGCGACCAGATTGGTGTTGAAACCCAATCCCGTCCTTTATAGCACCCGGGCCGATGGCCACCACCTCGCCTTCGCTGGGCTTCTCCTTGCCCCAGAACCCAGGTGTCCCAGTAGTAATAGCACAACACACAAGAAGCACCCCAACAAACCTCCCCCCTCTTTTGTAGCTCTGTCCGAGGAGGTCGGCAGCAGCAATCCGGACTTCGTGCTGGTCACGGTCTCCTCTGCGACTCAGAGAACACACATAAAGACACACAGTAAACGAGCCAAGAAAACGAACCAAACTCCTTTCACCATCCCCAAAGGGCGCCTTTGACTTGACCAGGACGTAATCGAAAAGGGGAGAAAGCTCACCCTGGACCTTGAGCAGGCGTGGGGTGGCGAATAACCTCCTGTGCGGAATTGTGGGGGCAATTTGCGGAGGGACAGGGCTGGGCCTGAACTGCCTCGCCAGCCGCGCAGGGCATCCGCGAAGAGCCTCCCGATGCATCCGGCGGGGCCGGCATTTGTAAGAGAACCTCTGCAGGCTCAACCCGGCCTGTGTGGCCTCTGTGTGGGACAACAAAAGCCACTCCGAAGGCCATGACCAACGCGGAAGATGCCAACATCGCTCCTGGACGGTGGCGAACGCTGATGGCATCTGTCAGTGCTTCCGTATGGCATCCCTCCAAAATGCAAGAGATTTGTTGATGGGTGGGCGAACTGCACATGGGTGTGACTCGGGCTGTTGTGCCGGAAGTCGTCTTGCCACGTCTGCTGATGGCATGTCTGCTGTAGGCACGTCTACCTCAGAATGCGTGCCCTGCAGTGTTTGCTTGACACACTGCCAAAAGCCCTTCTGGCTTGGTTGAGAACATGACTGAACTCGTGTGTGTTCTTTTCACAGAGCAAGACTGAGCTTACATTACTACTGATACGCTTCATCCACTTGCCCTGGTGCCCTCTTCGCCAAGCTGGGGCCTCCGAGACACCTGGAGCGAGGCATCCGCGACATGGGCCTGTCACAAAATGCCGAGTTTGGTAAAGAAACCCAAGAGCAAAGTCTCGGCCCTCGGAGCAGGAGGGCAGGCTCGCCTCATCTTCTATGCGCTGCAAGCACTCAGCCTACCGTTTAAATTCAAACTGTTTGACGCTTTCATCCTGCGAAGTCTGAGCCTTGTTAGCTTTTCTGACTGCCATGTTTCGTGTACCGTGGTCATCCTATGCTGGGCTCGCTAAAGGCAGCTGTGCCGAGAGCGGCAACGGCGAAGCCCTTTGAGAAGCGCCTTCTTCGAGCATCCTGGCTCTGGTGCTCCACAAAGCACCACGCAAAAGTTCAGAGGGCAAAACTTGTTGTCCCTGGATTGCAGCCTGACCTTCGTGGAAGGCCTCGCACTAAGGTCAGAATCCTTAAATCCTAGGGTCCTAGGGATTCCTAGGGTGAGAACTAGGGAGCGGTTCTGCTTGGCAAATGAGCAGCTCATCACCACCTAAAAACGATACGGCGTGTGCCGCGCAATCTTTGCACACAGTGTCACTACGACTGCTGCTAGGATGGCAGCAGCTGCGCACACGTCGAGCAGAAACCAACATACAAAAGTTGCAGAAACGACGGCGCTGCGATGAGATGAACCCAAAAAAATGGGGGCTGGATCCTTTGGGCACCGGATTCATCGGATGTTCGACTCAGTTTCGAGGACATGACGTGGAATACGTGGGCGTTGAGAGGGCAGGCCTCGACGACTTGGATGGGGACACACATTCACTCCAGTATCTCCAACGCAGCGCGACGTGGCTAAAGCCGCTAAAGCCCCTGTACAGGACCCGGGTCCTGGCACAAGCTGTGGAAAATGGCCTCTGTCAATGTTGGGGCACGAGGTCAAAGATTAAAAAAATTGCTGGAAAAGATGCTGCTCGCCTGTGCCCCAACAGAGACAAGATGGGCCAAAAGATGCTCAACACCTTAACGACCTAATGACGTAATGGGGCCACAGAAGGTTTGCCTTCGTGGCCCCCTTCGTGGTGGCCCTTCGTGTCGAAGCGCACAGGTGGCGCACTACTGCTTCATCGAGACCTGGAGCTGATACATGGCAAAGCACAAAGCAATCCGCAGTCTGCCGCCATCTGCAGTGGATGTAGGCCCTCGAACACTTGCAGGCCCCTCGCCTGGTGCTCCATGAGATTTATGGAAATCTGCTTTGTGAGATCCGTCGTTTGCTTTTCGAGAATGTCCTGTCGACGATCCACTCTCTGACGCTACTGGCGGTTCAAAGCTTGCGTTGAAGTGACTTGCGCACGGGAATCTGTTGAAAGAGATGTTTCGAAACTTCTGAACCTCAACATGCTTTCTGCCATAGCTCGCGAAGCACCACATTCGTGCGGCCAGGGCGTTGCTTCGACTCGGCCGCGACTGTACTCGAGTATATTACAGCCTTGGTGTTCTTCAAGCTCCCATCCTTGTCTGTAACTCCGAGGATGGAGCCACCGGTACTGGCCTGCCAAGGGCATAGGGACGTCATAGGGTCATAGGAACATCAGCACCGGCAGATGCCCCGCGTTTAGCCCCCCCCCAAAAAAATGCTAGGGGAAAAGCCTTGCTCTTGCTCGACCACCGGGCAGCTGCAGCTTCTACCTCACAGGGCAGAGTTTCTGCACTCAACATTCTCGGAACTCGCAGAGCAGAGGCCAGCATGCTTTGGCTTCCTTTGTCATGCAGGGCGCGGCTGCGCCTTTCTGCTAATCACAACTTTCCCAGTTATGGGTCTCTGGAACGGCAGTAGCAGCAGCAGCAGCAGTAGCAGTGCAGTAGCAGAAGCAGGAACAGAATCAGCAGTAGCACTGTGAGTAGTAGGAGCAGCCACAAAGCGCCTCGTTCTGGTCACACATGGAATCCATACCTAGGACTGCAAAGATGATCATGCGCAAGCTGACGACATGTCCGACGTGCAGCTTAGGTTGTGGCAGTAGCCCAAGGCACTGCAACAGTACATGGTGAGGCCTGGAACACAAGCCCATTTTCAAGGTACTCTTCTGGTAGATCACACGACTTTGAGCCTCCAAGTGCGGAGAAGATGCAGTTCCTGTACTGGGAGACGCGCGATTTGGCCTGCCGTTCCAGCTTCGGGAAGCGCAAAATCCACGTCAAAGGATTGCGTGCACCCTGGCGCGGAATTTGTACACGCCTGGACCTCTTCTTCTGGAGGACACTCATCAACCAATGCTGCGTCGTTCTGCTGTGTCGTCAGCCAGCGATGGCGCACAGCCTCATGACTGTCATGACGGCCAGGACTTAGGGGCGTCAGCCATCGAAGGATCTCGACCAAGGACCACGAACTGTTCCGCGGCCCCCGCTTCCTTTGCAAGTGGCCGATCCGAGACATCCTGTGCACCAATAGCGCTATGCATCTGCTTTCAACCGATGTGCCTGGGCGCCTAGCAGGTAGTTACAACGCTACACTCGGCCATAACCAAGTTGGGAAGAAAGCGAGCCACATGCAACACAAGAATGCCAGTGGTGACCAAACTCCTTCTTCATCGTCTGACGAAGGAAATCCGCACCTCAGCGGAAGCGTGCCTCCTTGCATCTTCTTGCACAGAAAACAGCAAAGCAAAAAAAAAAACATCAGGTGCCATGCCAGATGCTTGCCATGGTCGGTGCTCTGGGCAGCAGGCCCAACTGCGAGCAGTAGAATGGCATCGTCAGGTCGTTCGTGCCTTTCGGCCCTTGCACAGCGGCTTCTCTTTTTCTATCCTCTTTACATGTCTTGCTTAGTATCTTCAATGATCCAGCCACTGTTGGATGACCTACCTATCCCTGTTACTTGCCCACGTTTGAGGGAAACCACCTGTACACCCGGCTGGTGGGCAGTGAGTCCGGTTTCCCCGTTTGCTCTCATTCGGGTCTCGATTCAAACCTTTCAGCTTCGTACTTTCAACTGTCTACTTGCCGCATTTCGCAGTGCTCGGCAACTTCAAGAGCTGTATCTGCTTGTTAGGATGCACAAACCCTGCATTGCCGGACATTTGGACAGATTCGAAAGGTGTGTGAGCATTAAATTTGCAATTTCGTACTTACATAAGCTTTGAATCAAAGCTGTCTTCGGCAATGGGCCCTGACGCGTTTCTAGGTGCTTGGATGAGCATTGCAGAACTGCAAAATCAAGCATTTGCGGCCTACAACATGGGAGGGTCAAGGGGGGACGATTTCGCTCATCTTCCTTGGTCATGAACATTCAGGAATCCGCTCCATTGCACATGGCAGAGGTTGTCTGTTGTGCTCTGTAGCGCACCCTGTCATCTTCTGGCCTTCGAACCTTTGAAGCTGTTTGAAGCTGCTCCCCTAGCCCGTCCCACTCAGAGAGGTGCCTGGACGAGCACAGATGGCATCCTCGCCCTCGTAGGGGAGGGCCTGAGATCTCAAGCTCTTGGCCCCAGTCTCCCCGAATCAGGGCTACCTGGGGCCCCAAACGCCAGTCAGCAAGATAAAGGTCGTCACACCGACGGCCTACAGCTGCACTGCGGCATGGTAAAGCAGCAGAAGGTGAACTGCTCTCTCTGAGGTCGGACCCAAACATCAACAGCGAAGTCGTATGTGCCGACATAGATCTGGGGCATCGAGTTGCAGTGCAGCTACCAAACCAGCATGCGAACAGCAAGAGCCTAGATTCGGCGAGTCCTGATCTACTTCCTTCATGACAAAAGAAAGCTCTGTGCATCTTGACGCTGGGCGAGGACATGCGCCCTCTGCCTCGGGTGCCCAGAAGGCGGGAGTTCCCACGCGACCGCTGACCATCTCCCCCTTCTCAATCCTGGGAACGGCATATGGTCCCAAGCCACAAGCAAGCAAAACTTGCAGTTGGAAATCTCTCATGTTCTCGTCAAAAGCTACATTCCTGCCAGCAGGCGGCAACATGATTGCTAGCAGCCAACCTTCTGGAACCAGCTACCCGCACTTCTGTTCGCTCGTATTGGAGCCTCTCATTCAGTTCTTCTACAAAATCCAACGCCCCTTCCCACAGCCACTACGCTAGGCTTCGTTGTGGAAGATGTAGTGCAAGACCTGTAGCAGCAGTTAGCATGAACTTGCCAACAACAGCAGCAGCCGTGTGCTGCAGCAGCCGGAAGACAAATTGGGGACCCCCAATACAGATCCCAAAAGAGTAGGGATTCCCTTATAACCAGGACCCCAATAAACAACCCCTAATTGCGGAAACCCCATATGAGACTTCGGACCTTGGAAGGAGCAGCAGAAACGACCACACTGAGCAAAGGCTGTCCTCATGGCTGTGCCAAAGTCTGACAGCGCAACCTGTTCAGCAGCTCTAGGGCAATGCTAGTGATGACTAGCTGCAAAGGCAGGGCCTGTGCGCGATTTTGCCTGGGAAGGGCACCAAAGGCAATCTCAACACCTGTACAAAACCATCTCACCTACAGTGAGAGCTATAGACAACTTGTGATGAGGTGGATGCTTTCCACTGCCGAAGGTGAAACCATCTACTCGACTCCAAGCAAAAATCAAGAACTGAGGGACTGTCCTTAAATCTTGACACTTGACACCTCGAGCCTATCTACACCCCATGGTCCGAAGCATTCCAGACTTCAATTCACATGTCACGTACCTAGCATTCCACTGATCTACGCTCACGCGCGTGGCAGGGATTGGATTGCGGCAGCTGCTGCTACGATGGCCTCCACACAAACGTGAGCAGGGCAGGCGATCTGAGGTGAACGTGGTAAACCATGCATCTCCCTTCTTGAGTTGCGAGAATTCAGAACCCCCTTGCCTCTCTGGCCGCCTCGAGAGCCGGCAGTCCCGACACGTAGCCGGGCACCGATTCCTTCTCGCTCGGTGCCTCTTGGGGCGGATCTCCCGGTTTCAGGGGCAGCTCAGGGGCAGCTTAGGGGTTGTCTTGCACCACACTCTCAGCGGCTGCTGTAACACCCGTTTAGAATGGGCTTGAGTGAATGTATCACGAGGATTCGTAAGACAGTCGGATCGCTTAGCGTCTCCGAAAGCCATGCCTCGGGAGCTGCTCATGGAAGCCAAGTCACACAAGTCCATGGGGCGGAGCTGGGCACTGATGTGGGGGACAATATGCTGGGGTTTCGAGGTCGAGGGTCTTAGAGCTTCAGGGGTCGAGGCTTTCCCCCAACCTCCACCCGATGCCGGCAGGTCGCAGCTCCGTACATCTCGCAACGTCGCGGTCCGCCATCTTTCCAGGTCCATGACAGACACCTAGCAGGGGATCAAGAGGATAAACTGGCAATTTGGATGTGACATGCATTCAAACGTCACCCCTGACGCTTACTAAGCCCTACGTTGTCCTTCATCCCCAACCCTTATATAGCCCGAATGCGTGAACCCTAAACTCCTAAACCCAATGTGTTGCCGTACCTGGGCTCCCTTTGGCAGAGGCGGCAGCACCGCTGGGGGGCCGCAACGTCGAAGTCATCTCCCAGGTGGGGCCGGTGGCTGATGACCCGAGACCAGCTGCCCAGAGGGGGTACCTCGGCAGGTTTTCCTGTGTGGTCACAAGTTTTGAAGTGAAGCCTTTCAATTTTAGGGCATCTACCAACAGAGTGTCCATAGGTTCTCGGTAAGCCCATTCAATCTCCACACGTCCCCCAAGGCTGCCAAGGCACGTAGCCCACATCTGGCTCCAGCTGGCCACACCAGAAATGCTGCCAGTCGTCACCAGGCAGGTTGGCTCTCAGAGCCTCCGTTGCCTGGGAGCAAGAAACAAACTTGAAGAAGCTGTTCCTGGTAGAGAAGAGCTATGTCCCTTGGGGGCGCCATGACAAGCCGGACCTTGCGAGATGGAGGGGGTTGTGCTGAATTAGAGCCCCTGTTGCACATCCATTTGTCAGATGCCCTGCCAGCCCTTTCAAAAGTTGAAGCAACACCACGTGGCGAGCCTGGATTGCAGCACTGTCCACATTCCTCAGTTTGTTCAGTCTTAGACCTTGGGCCCGAAACCGATACAACTGCCACTGCAAATCTGCGCTGACCTCTGGGCGGGAAAAAGCCTGCAAACGAGCCGAGCTTCGTCACAGCTGGCCCGCTTGAAGTGGTTGTGTCGTTCGGGGGCGCAGTGTCGTTTGTGTCGTTCGTTGTGTTCGTTGAGTTCGACAGACCCGCCTGGTCCGTCTGGTTGCTTTGGTTCGTGTGGTTGCTTTGGTTGGTTTGGTTTGTTTGGTTTGCTTGGTCCGCTTGGTTGGTCTCATCTATGGGCTGATGCAGCTCCTCCACCACTGGGGTAGCTGGTGGGGTCCCCAAAGACACCGTCACCGAGATGGCATCGTGGTCACTGCCTACCGGGCGGAAGCGGAAGCAACCCAACCTCCCTGCAAAAGCACTGCCCCAAGACCCACCAGAAGCCTGTAGTCACACGACCTTCCTTGGACTTGCAAACAAAACCACAGTCCGCGAGGCAAAAGCCAAACACTAAATACACACCTTGAACCACAAGAGCAGGCAACGACCGCCTCCACTGCCCAGGTTTTTGCGGCTCACCACAGAATCAGCGTCCATGTTGCCGAAAATGTTGTCCTCTCGTTCTTTCAGCAGCTTGTGAACTCAGAGGCGCTTAGGGGATCGTTGGAGGTCGTTATGTTTGACGCGTGCCAAAGGCCCTAAGGATGCCCTCGCTAGGCCGCTAGGCCACTTGTGCAGCATGGCAAAACACAAGCAATGCACGCGAGACCGCCGAGTACCGAAACACAGGATGTCGGAGGATGTCGGATTACAATGCACTCTCAAACCCCCACCTAGATGGCACAATCAGTGGCAACTCCCGCGTCGGGATCAAAGAAGAGGTCTACTTGGATGTTTGAGGCCAGGATCTGCGTTCTGGAACAGGGCGATGTAGAATCAAGTAGCTTTGGCTTGCAAGGCTGGTAGCGTGCGCGACTTGGGACATGGGTTTGGTTTCATCGGATCAGAGGTTCAGAGCATCACGAAGGCCAGGGCACCACACCGCCAAAGGAGCCGCCGCCGTAGAGGAGCACCATCCGGGACCAAAGAGACTGGAGCGTGGTGAGCTTCGAGCTACTGCACGACTAAAAGTTGTGGCTGTTGTGCCTACCTGGGCCTACCTGTTGCACACTGGTACCATGATGGAAGCTCAACTCACGTCGCCGCTCGTACGCCTGGATCGTGAGGGAAGCAGAATTGGCGTTGAAGTCCCCGACCAGAACGATGGCATCGCCTGCGCACGGAGGACACACAGAGTCTACAAAGCGGGTGAGGGGTTTGGGGTTCAGGGTTTTGGCTTTACTGGGTTTGCCCCACTCTCCTGGTTGAGAGCTGTTTCGGATGACTTCAATCAAGTTGTTGGCGATGGAGTCACCACCGCAGTCCCCGCCAGAGTTCACCTCCAACGGGCCGTGGTGGTTGGCGAAGAGCAGCTTTCCTCACATCTTCTCTTTCGTGGGAGACGATGAACAATAAAACATGCGAACACTTACAGAGTAAAAAATCCTGTGAAGGACAGGCCAAGGCCCCTCCTGCAATTTCTTGAGTCTGCTTTGCTTTGCAAACCTCCTTCGCCTATTTTTAGTTGCAGCAAGCGACGGCCGGTGGAGTTGTGCTCGAGGCGTATCCAGACTACGCCGCGGTGTCCGTAGTAGTGGGACTTCATGTCCTCTGATTGGCACACAAACGCACATCAACGAAGCAAGACTCCACGGAGACGAAAAGCTCTGCTCTCGGTCCTCCCCCACGTCCCTGCTCCCGCTCGAGAGCATGTTCCAGACACCCTTTCGGTAGGCCAAGCACACGGCGTGGGCTCCTGCGCTATGTGCGCACTCCTTGCGCACTCACAGCACAGCTACGACACTTTACCCGGCCGACCTTGAAGCACTTCGTAGCTGTCCATCAGGCCCACCTGGCTCAACGGCTGCAGATCTCCAGCTCCAACGTAAAGACCACCCGACAGCAACTGAAGGAAGGAGCAGCTGAAATACGCCGGAACGCCGGCTCCAGCACACGGATGCCGTTCTCGCACTCCTGGAAGCCCATGACGTCGAAGAGCCCGTCCTGGCGGGTTCTTCAGGTTTCGGGGCCTGTGGCTGCGCGGCGACGTAGCCAAAAGCTCTCGTGGAGCTTCGAGGCCTCCACGGTCTCGGCTTTGATCAGCTCGCCGGCGCTGTCCCCGTTGCCTCCCACCCACACGAGAGTAACATCAGAACACTGGGTGGCCTGAAGAGGATTTAGGGCAAGCTTGGCCAAGCCACCGCGCCGGACGCCGTACAGGTTCCACCAGAAGAGGTTGTAGCTCAGCACCTTCGAGGGCTCGCATCTTCTTCTCGCTTCAAATGCTTCTCGTTGGTCACACACAGATACATCAGCTCCGCGTCTAGACTGGCCCTTGGAACCCGATATGAAAAAGCAGCTCAACCCCGTGAAGACCAAAGCCATCGGTGCTGCTGTCCATGCACTGAATGCACTTGGCATCTGCATTCAAATCGTGGACTGGTTGGCCCTCCTGCTTTTCTTCCTTCTCCTCCCTTGTGACTGTGACACAGTGACACCTCTCTTGCTCTCTCGGCCCGTGCCTGCCGCTCGTCCTATGCGCGTTTGTTGTGAAGATTTGTGAAGTCGAAACGCGAGGATCTTCCGAAGAATGTCCGTTCCAAACTACAGAGCTGCTTCTCATTGCTGTTCTAGGGGGTGAACATTGCAAACGCAACGAGGACACACACACACACAACATACATGTTCGACATGATAGCTGCCAGCACTCAGATTAAGTGTCATCGGAAAGCTCTGCCGCCTTGATGGTCAGGCCTCCACCCCCCTCTGCCGGGGCTGAGAGGTTCCCTGCCCGCGGCCACTCACACCACTTCGGGCGCAGCCTCGGAAAGTCGGCAAGAAGTCTACCGAGCTACCAAACAAGTCTGGGCTCCGGACGGAACACCGCAGGGGATGGGGCACTTGCCTCGGCGCAGAGGGCATCTCAGCAGATCAACTACTCTCGGACAGTCCCCGCCTGGCATGCGATCGTGTATCAAAAGCTGGAAGTCCACCACCGAGGACTCCGCAGTGAGATTGGGATACCTCTGCCAGCCCCCTTTACTGCCTTTACTGCCAGAAAAGAAGCGCGGATCGGCCCACTCCCCCACATGCACCAAATCTCTGTCTCCTTCTCTCACTCAGCCCTCGGCCATTCCGGGTGTTTGCCTGCCATTGGTGTCAGACACACTCGGTGGGCATCTCGGCCCGAATCTGGCACGGTGGACCCACACTGTTCTGGGCCATCGGCGGATACCGACCTCTCGAGCCCACGTAACCTCTTCAGCAAACAACCGTTTTGTCACCAGTTGGGCGAAGACAAAACCATACAAAACTACGAAACCCCAAAGCAAATCCGCTGCCTCGCGGAAGCATCTCTCCCCGTGCACCGTCGTGTGGCAACCCACCTTCTGCTTTGCCAAAGCACCTGCAGTTCGGATCGGGCTCCGTCCTACCTGCCTCTTCTTGTCAAGACGAAAAACTCCATGCATGGCAGCTCCTGCTTCACGGAGGAGAGATCCCCAAACCCCCAAGCAAAACTCGACTCGGAAGCCCCCGTCCTGTTTCCGTTGAGGCTTTGCGAGGTGTCCAGGCCTCGATGCTGCAGCGCGTTCAGCGCGCAGTCGGTGCGGTCCTCCGCGCACTCATCGTCCGAGGCGAGAGGCAGCTCCTGCTGGCTCGCATGGAAAGCTCGTTAGGGACCACAGACTCTCGGCCCCCGCAAGAGGGATCGCAAAAAACTCGTTGTCCTGAGTGAAGCCCACAAAAGGAATAAGGAGGGTTAGTACCTGCAAGCAAGAGCACCCACTGAAGCGTGTAGAGGATTCTGTAAACATCAGGTCTCCAAGCACCCCAAGTGACTCTTGCAGCTGCGTGGCTCTGCGCATTCGTGGTGTCTGGGGCAAGGCCCAAGCGATGCTGGAGCCCAGACGGCATCAGCCAAAACCAGTAATGAGAGCCATGGAGAATGCATCTTCGGCTTTGTTCGGCATTCAAAGCGCCCTTGACGACTACTTGCTCTTGGGATCTCTCTGCGCCTTGACATCGGGATCACCGATGTCTGGTCGATCTGCCAGAAAGTTCTCACCCTGACACAGCTCGGCCAAACAGCCCAACGAACCAAACAAAAGCAAACCTTCAGTTCTCAACCTGAAAGGCAGCTCTCTCACGTCACCTTGACGTCCCGGTGTATGATTGACAGACCGTGCACCTGATAATGTCGCGGGTTCATGAAATGAAAAAACTCTTGCGAGCTTCACTGAATCACTGAAGCAGCTGCCAAGTCTTGCTATGCTATTCTGCTGTTCTTGCCTGAGCTCCACGCATGGGCAACAGCCGACATCATTTGCTTCGCAAGGCGCGCCAGCTGCGCATTCGGCACGCGCCCAAAGGCCTCGAAGCTTGCTGGGCAGCAAGTCCGAAACAAAGACAAGAAAAAGAGCGACTGGCATGAAAGTCACTCGTCACTCGTCTGAGGAACTGGGCCCGTCGGTGGGTGTTGAGGCCGTCAACCAGGTCGCCGCCATTAAACATGTCGACGACCACGTTCACGTACTGGGCCTCTCGGCTCAGGTCTACGCCGAATCTTCGGATTGCAAGTCTCTTTACATTTGGCTTATAGGACAAGCCCAGTACACCCAGCCTCGATGAAGACATCGTAGCACCTTTATGGGAGAGTAGCATGTGCTCAAGAAAAGTCTACAGTCTACTACAGTGTACAGGTGCATCAACTACCGCAGTATACATGTGCATCAGCTTGCCTGACCACATTCTCGTGTCGAAGAAGTCGCATAATGGCAATCTGCGCCAGGCTTGCTGCTCAACTTGTGCTGCTGACGCCCGATGCAAACAAAACTAACTCTCTCTCCAGCCCGTCTCCAGAGCGCTCCCATTCCCGAAACTTTGTCGATCTGTCAACTCGTCCTTCGCGTGTGATGCTCTAAACACTTTTTAGCTCTCCTCAATCCTCAAGAGGGCTCCGCTGGATTGTCTGGAGAGCCCTCTTTAAAGGCGAGGGAGCAGTGGAACGAGGCCAAGCACCTCTCTTCCAGCCCGGGGCCGCCTCAAAACTAATAGAGACTCTTCTGGTCCTCAGAACTTCGATTCTCACACGACCATCTGCTGCACTGTGGCAGGCCCGGCTGTCCCGCTGGCGCGGCGGAACCTCGGAACAGGCGCGAGAGCGGCGACACCGGCATCAACAGTAGCAGCAGCTTTCGGCAGCCGAAAATGAGCAGACATGCCAGGTAGAACTTCTTACATGCCGTCACGCGCTTTATAAATTCAACAGCAAACATGCAACAACGCAGAATGCTACAGAATGCTCGGCCCTCCGCATTGCCATGCGCCTTGCCGCCGCCTCCTGTGCCTCCTCCTCGGAGAGGTCCACCTTCACCTCTTTTCGGCTCTGACTCTGAGCTGTGGCCTGCTATTTGGGCTTAGGACTTCGGGTTTTGGGGAGCCCGCCTGAGGAATCGTGGCATCATCCGCCAAGCCACAAGTGTTCTTGGCCTGGGATCAGATAGACCCCTCTACCGCCTCTTTGAAAGTCTGAGGAACCTAGGTACCAGCGAGATTCCCTTGGGCTGCCGCCATCTCCAGGTAGATGTAACCCTGCATGCCCCAGGTCGATGCCCTTAGCTAGGATGCTGTTGATGCTTTCCTTGTCCTTTCGAGCTCGTTGCAACCCAGATTCCACGAGTTGCGAACAATCCAGTAAGGCTTGGCAGCCGTGGCGTTGAAGCCAACGGCCATCACACAATGGTCCTGCAGACTTCTTTAAGGGCGTGCACTGTGTGCACGCCAAAGCTTCTGGCAAACCAGCTAGCCTGGTAGTCGGCGCCCATGGGACCACAGGCGGCGGCCGAAAGAACGCCCCCGGTGTAGTCGTTCCAAACACCGGCATTGACCTGAGAGCTCAGAAGAGGTAGCAAACAACTGTACCAAGAAAACAACATGTCAGGCGGAGAAACGATCTCTGTTTTCTTCTGACTTGGCCGCAGGATGTCTCGCAGCCACATCGTAAGCGCCAGACACACACAGAGATGGGGGATTCCTCCAGAGCCGCTGCCAAGCCCTTCAGGTCCTTCACTCAGGGCAGCTTCTTCTGTGATCTGGAGTGCTGAGTCAACCCAAAGTGCGTATGGATCAAGCATATGGAACGAGTAAGCTTGCGTTGTACAAGTTTGCTGATGCCAGCTCTGAGCGCCTGGTGCTCGCAACTCCCTTCCGTGCAAGGCTTCACGGCATAGCTGTAGCCTGTCGCTCCAATCAGATTGCGCAGGGTACGCTGCAAAGCCGGCGAACGCGCCTGTCACAGCTGCGTAGCCACCCGACAACTGCATCATGGGGCCATCCATGGCCTCCACCTGGTGAGCTGCGGAGCTTCAAGAAATAAATGCAAGGAGGCAGAGTGTGCGTTCTGGTTGCGAGCCGGCGCCTTCGCCGTGGGGCAGGCAACAGTTTCGGTGGACTCCGTCAGGCTCTGTTGGTAAGGAATGTAGAAGCCTTGGATCAATGGCAAAAAAACCCCTTGGAAGAACTGCTCAAGCTGGAAGAATCAATGTTCAGCAATGCTGCTTAGGTGCTGTTTGCGAGGCCCGGAACTGTTTTCAGATATTCGTAGGCACCCTCGAAGGGACGCAAGCCGCTGCTTTCGGTTGAAGACTACAGTGAGTCAGTGAGAACAGCGCAAAAACAAAAAGCAAACCAAAGTGGGGCAGAAGTGTCGCCTCTGTGAAGCCACCGTTGCAGCCTGACAAACTCAGGTGTCAAGGGCGCGCATGGCCGCATGTGGGGAGGATCACGAGGGCATCCCGCCTTGGCATCCGTAAGTTCCTGTGCTGGGCGCGCAGCTGGCAATCTGCTGGGGCGACAACGCAATGTCGTACCTCGCTCCAACATCACATCTTGCCACAGCTTGTACGGGCTCACACGCGCCCCCGCCTGCCACCGGAGGCCAGGATAAGTTGCGACTCGATTGCCTCAGTGGCTGAGAACGCCCAGCACGATCCGCATTGGCCTGGCAAGCGCGGCGGTACAAAACGAAGGAAGAACCGAGAACAGAGCTGGTGACACATGTGGCGAGGAAAATGTTGAACAGTGAGCACGCATTGCTCCAGACATGCGCGCTTCTTGTGGCGGAAGTTAAATCGGTTTCTCAACTGTGTCCGTGCCAAAGCCACGACATCAGCAAAAAGAGAAAACACAAGCGTGCTGGCAGCTGTCAACACGCGGGCAAGGACAACATTCGCCACACAACAATGGCAGACAACTGCTTGTAACACGTAAGAGCCATACCTGAACTCGCACAGGCATCTGGTCTCCATGGCTTCTAGTCTTCTTGAACTTGGGCCGTTCGCTCGCGCCACCCCACACACAATGTGTTCGGCGAGTTGCAAGCCAGTGTTGGACACCACTTGCTCCGGTTGGGAAGCTGGTTTGTGCTCCGGGGGGCCGTTACAGCGCAATCACTGCTGGTTGAAAGTGTCAAACTCCAACCCTGAGAGGGCCTGTTCAGGCAGGAGCATGCTACAAATTGGACGAAATGCCTTCCGAAGTTTTGTCGACGTATCGCAGGCGTGGGACATAACATAGCTTGGAGTGCGTCACCGGCCCTTGATTACTCCACTGCGTTCGAAAGAAAGAAAGTCCCGAAGGGCTGCTTGTGCGGAACTTCAGGTTATCAGCCGTGACCGATAGCCATGCCATGTGTGAAGGGCAAGACGGAAGTAGGTAACCATCTGACGACCAACAGGCGCCCGTGCCACACACTCAGTGGGGCAGAACGGACGCGCCATGGGAACGGGGGCTTCAACAGGCCAACAAGACACTCAGCGCCTTAGACCCTCTTTTGGACTCTTTTTAGACTCAGCCTGGCCTTGGTTCTTGATGGGCGTCACCGCCTCTGTGAGGCGCCAGTCCACGGCTGTGGCCGTTCGGGCGCCGGTCGAGTTGCGCACTGGCGCAACGGGCACGAAGCCCTTGGGCTTCCGGTGCCCCCTTGGACACTCACAAAGCGCACGATTTTAAAAAAAGGAAAGCGCAACATGCGCGGAGAACGTGCAGACGTGCGGCCTCTTGTACTTCTCCTCCTCATAGCGGTCGGCCATCCAGGTGATGCCGAACGCGGGTTCGCCGTTCAGCTTGTTCAAATGCTCGACTCGCTGCTTTGTGGCCTTGAACCTGAAATCCAGTGAAGCAAAAGTGCAGACAGAAACGGAGGAGCCATGAGGTGCCCGCTTCGACTTGGCTTCTTTTTTCTGGGCTCCGGACAGCTGGTAGCGGGCCGTTTCCTCGCCCTTACTGGAGTAGCTCCTTAGGAGGCTTTTGCGAAACACGCACGGAGTTGCGCAGAACGACGACAGAACACGAAGAGCAACAACTGCGCCCGGTGTCTTCTGGTACTTGTGCTTGAAGGCCTCCCAGTCCGGGTCAGAGATCGCCGCCACCACAGGAAGAAGAATCCAGGCCCAGCTGAGCATGGTGAGAAACTGTCGGAACCCTTGGAGGCCTTGGTGCTTATGCTTGGAGCCAAAACCCTCCAGGAACATTGCATGACTCCGGACTCCGAACTGCAAATGTCCCTGGGCATCACCTCCGCCGTTTTCCACACGAACGGCGAAGCGCGGCTAGGCCCGACTCGTTGTGGTCTGCTAGCTCTGTTTAGCTCCTTGCAGCCTCATTGGCAGGTCCACGATTAGAGTTCGAGACAGGCTCAGGGCGGTGTTGCACACACCTGCAATGAGAATGGCAGATGTGTCACAGAGGCCCAAGACTCCAGGTGTGAGGCAGACACCAAGCTCACAGATTGCGGAAGCAACGGGAGCCTTCGCTTCTCCAGATCCCAGACGTAGCCAGCATTGCAACCTGCGCTCGCACCACTTTAGCGCCCGGGGCCCAGGGCATAGCTCTGAGCTCCAGACAACAGGACCACCCGCAGAGGTGGCTGAGTTCAGCGTGGCAGCGGCCACATCTGTAGGGGTTGTCAGTGTCACAGGCCTCACAGCAGCACGATAGTGCGGCACCATGGATGAGAGCATATGACACGTAAACATAGCCAGGCTCTCCCTTCGCCCAGGCATGACCTCAGTGGTCCCTGCCTGCTTCCTCTCCGCCCAGTGACTGGATGCCGGAATGTGAAAGGCTTGCACCAGAGTGTGGTTAGCTTTGCCTGGGCGTCCATGCTTGTCACATCTGGTCACAGCATGCAAAGAGCACGCCAGCAGCATGATCTGAGCTGAGCTGCATCCGCTACAAGCGTCCTGTTCTATGTCGTAGTTGCAGCCAAACATGCAGCAGCAGTGGTTATTCCCGCAGGGGTAGGCAAACCGAGCCTCGCATCAGATTGCTCCGTGCAAATGCTGTTTCCCCTTCCTCTGCGACATGGATCCCAAAAAGGAAGCCGCGAACAAAGACGGTACCTCGCAGCTCTCCCAGGTCTGGGATCCGGGGATCCTCAGCAGCGAAACCACCAGTGAAGCCGCCCTCCTGAGCCCTCAAAAAGGAATAGAGGTGATCCAAGCGACGGAGATGGCTGCGGGGGCTCTGGCATGGCTAGCACCGCATCTGGTTTCCTTGAAAGCTTGAGAAGCAAGGTTACACATCGACTTGAGCTGCTTGGGCTAGCAGATGCTACCAGTGTCAAGGGGCATCCGGGGTTGCTAGGGCTGCTAGGGTTGCCGTTAAGAGAGCCGAGAGGCCGCGCTCGCAGTGCCGTTGCTCTGACGCACTCCCTGGAGAGAACACTGAACACTTGTGAGAGGAGGAAGGGGCAGGTTTCAGCATGTTCCAGTATGCTTCGGTATGTTTCAGCCCTTCATTCCTTTAGGAAAGGGATGTGAGAATGCCACAGTGGGGTCGCCCCAAAAGTGCCTCTGGTCCAGATCCCACTTCCACTCTGCGTTGCAGCCTGGGCCAAAATCGAAGGAAACGAATGAAGCGGCACCGACACCCTGAGGACTCGACAGCAGGACCTGCCACATTGATGGCTATGTGCCGGAGGGCACACGTGCTCCTTCAAGCTGCAACATAAACACAACTCGCTGCAAGTAGCTCCAGCAGGCGCAGGCCGCCGCATCCGAAGAATACGTACAGTCGGAATGTGATCATAATGCCCACCCACTCCCCCCCCCCCGCCTCTATGCGTGCCTTCCATAGCTGGGAGGATGGGATGTGGAAGTTTGTTACGTCCGGATCGCTGTCACCTCAAATGAAGCTGCCGCACAAAGCAGCCAGCAACGAATCAGGACAGTTTGATCTTCTGACAGGAGAATGCCTGTGGACATCACGAGCAACAGCAAGGTGAGGTGCAGCTGGAGCGCTACAGCCGCGACAATCGTCGTGCTCAGCATCGTAGGTACAGCCCATCCGGCAGCAGCAGTGCTTCCCGTCATTGCATCGATAAGCTTTCCTAGAAACAACATGGCTGCAAAAACCCTCAAGCCAGGTTTTTGTACTACGGTGCTCTTGGGTGAGCCTGTGAGGCCTCTCAAGCCTGCAGTTGACCTTTGCCCTCTCTGTGGGTCGCTGCCCCGTCCTGTTCTCGCAAGTCTGGCGCTTGGCCCATGTCTGAGATCCTGTTGCAGCCGGGAACAGGGACGGCTGAATATGCCTCTTATTGCTATAACACCAATGAGGCTGGGCTTTGCGGTGCTGCTCCCTGGCTCAGTCCTGGAATAGGAGCTTCCCGAGGGACCTCAACAGCTCAACGGCACCAGATGAAAGATAGGGTTGAGGGATCAACGTTTAGGGTTGAGGAGTTAACGTTCAAGGATTTGCCTAGTGCAGTTAAAGGTTTCGGGTTTCGGGTTCGCTTCACTTCGGACACTTCAGAAGAGACACAGGAACATCTGGTGCTGGTTGGCGAGCTTCTGGGCGAACAACTGTGTGCTGGCCTCGGACGACATTACCACACCTACGTCTCCTCTCTCTCATTCACCCTGTTCTTCTTCTGCTTCTTTCTGCTTCTGCTTAGTTGTAATTTTCCTTCCTTTGCGCTACGACTTTTTCTTGTTCTCCTCCGCCTCCAGAACTTTTTTTGTTTTCTTCTAGCTTTCTTCAGTGTTTTCTTCAGGGGGGCCTAGAGGTCCACTCATGCCAAGCCGCACTGTCGCGATTCCAGATTCCAAAGGAACTCCGCGTTGCAGCAGCAGGCAGGGCCGCAGGGGTGGCCTTGTCTCGTTCCAGAACAGCTTCCGACCTGCCGGACCGTTCCTTCCCAAAGAATGCTGAGACCAGGTCTGTTTCGCGGTGAACAGATCCTCAGACAGGAAGTGCACAACTGTGACAAAACACATCCGAAAATGTGCATAACCACCAACAGTCTCACTGCCAACGCGACCTCTTGCCGCATAAACCAAGCATCCCGTGAGCTCGCTCTTTCCAAAGATGCGAAGATGGGATGTGAAAGGAAGCAACCTGACAACATCGGAGATGGCCACGAACCATTCTGGGCAGAGTTTCCATCATGATGCGATCCCAGTCGCGTCGGCATCATCATCGCGGCAGGCAGTGCAGCTGTCGAGCTCAACATCATAGGTACAGCCGAACCTGCAAAAGAGGCTTTTAGAGGGGAATATGAATTCCCGGAAAATATGCTTTTGCTCAAAGGGGGTTGCAACGTGGCCTGCAGCAGCACCGGTCCCCGCACGCATACGCATTCCTCGACAAGGAGAACTCTTCAACCCCCGTGTTTTGTTACACAGCTCTTGAAGTGCCCTTATAGGAGGGAGAGACTCTTTTTGGGGGGGCAAACCGGCTTTTCTGCACATGTTGTTGGTCTGGGAAAAAAAGTACCTGTGAGGCCTTGGGCTGCACCTGTCTCCGAGGATCCGGGACCAGGTCTGGGAGCCTCGCGAAGACAGAGAGAGGGCGAACAAGAGGAGAGGCGAAAGCAAGAAAAAGAGCCAGAAGAGAACCGCAGAAAATGCAATAGAATGGAGCAGAGGACGTCAAGAGTCCCCGGACTAGAGATGGCGAGACTCTGGCAGCGCTCCTGGAATCGGATCTGCTCGCCGCACTTCCACGGCCGGCTTCGCAGGCACCAGGCCCTCTGGGACTTCATCCGGCTCCCGGTGACGAAACTCTTGAAGCTGTGCCGCAGAGGCCGCTGCGGAGCCGCTCCTCAGGGCAGGCAGCACAACACAAAACACGACAAGAAAAGAGAATAATGCGAGAAGTTGAATTCCTGACACATAAGCACACGAGAGCGGAAAGGGCGGGAGGAGTAGCGGGATGGAGGGAGCCCGTGAGACGCGCGTGCACGTCTGTATGTGGGTCGAGTTGAGCACACCCCACGTCACGCAATCGCGTGCAACGCCCCGTGTTGGAGCCTGGAGGGTTGGAGAACTGAACGTGCCACGGCTGGACGTTCAGCACCAACACCTCAAAGCCCACAAAACATCTGGAAAAGCTCCATGCAACCCGTGCAAAACATTCCCATCTCGCTCGCAACTTCGACTGAATTTCAGAAGAAGCGTCAGATAGCGACCCATGCCAGGCACAGCGGCAGGCGCATTCCTAGAGTGTCGACCTCAGCCGTTTTGTATCCGAAATGAAGAAGGGACATGGATAACCAGCGTAACCTGCGTAAAGAAAGACTTCGGTCTCATGTCAGGACCAGGCCCTTCCCGAGGGATCATCGAATAAAAGGAAAGGTTTTGCACACAACTGGCTTGAGCCACAAAGCTCTATTTATCGGATGTAATTCAAGTTTAAAAAACAGAGCGGCTAACAGCAGAGTTGGCAGATTGTTGGCAGATGGGACGCGGGATGTCTGGGCCTCGTGGGCAATCTCCCTGGGGGAAAGCTCCGAAGTGTCGATCTTCTTCACCGCACGGAGCTGTCAAAGGTGTATATCCATGTGCTTACTCATGTGTCTATTCATGCCCTTATTCATGTGTTTAGTCACGCGATTTCCTAGGTTCCCAAACTCCCGAGCTTCGCCTAAAGCAAGGGCTCGCAGCATCTCGCGCCTGGCCGGACGTCCGGTGGACGGCCTTCCACACCGTGCTGAAGGCTCCTTGTCCCTGAGCCGATCACATGATTTTCGGGGATCTCACGAAGCATCCACATCTGGTCCACCTACCCCTGAGTGCCAGGCGACAAGGGCCTCGATAGCATAGAACTGCGTGAGGTTTACCGGAAACCGCCTGAGTGGATTGACATGATGAACCGACACGCTGCTGCACTGCTGCTGCACTGCTGCTGCACTGAGCGCTCAGGCTTCGAAAGGTCCATCATGACCTGCCATAGAACATCCAACACTCTTCAACTCAAGCACGGAAGAAAAGCGTGGAAGCATTCGGAAACATTGGATACATTGGAACTGGAATCCGCACCCTGGCGGCGCGACGGCTTCCAGTCACAGCAACATGGGCCGCAAGCACGCGATGAATCTCGCGGTTTATGTGTCAAGCTACGGGTTTTTTAGGGACCTTCGGGTGGTTTAGGGCAACCCCTCCCCCCCCCCTCGCCCCGAACAAGGCTCACTAGCCTACGAGACAAACATGCTCACGCAAGACTACACAAAACACCCAAAACATGCAATCCGTGATCGTGGTGCCGCATATTAGGGGGTCAAGAGTTGTGTTTACTTGCTCCGATGTGTTTACGCACCTGAGCTGCCATCTAGCATGCGTCGATGTAAATCTCCGAAGAATGTAGACAAAACTTTGCTTGCTCGTGTCTGGGATTTTGGAAGTTTGTGTTTGCAAGGTCTGCTGAGCCACAACGGATATTGTAAGGATCCTGCCTCACACGAAAACCCTGCAATCTTGGACAGTGATATTGCCTCGACGTTCACGTGATGATGTCACGCATCAGCTGAGCTGAACAGGCGCGCTTCACACAGCCCTGCATTTCCTCCGGGTGACATGCCTTACTGCGGAAGTGAGACTTGGGGATTACCTTGCGAAGCAAGGTGGCAGTGGGAGCTGCAAGGTGTCTGTACTTTACAAAAACTGTGCTTCTCCCATGCTCGATCTGCTGCGCATTCTCAATTGCGAAGCAAATCGGGAACAACTTTATACTGCAGCTATACAATTTTGAGCTCCTTGCAACAAATGTCTGAAGAAGTTGTGCAGCCGGTTGCTGGGATTTGTTCACTGGCTTTTGCGTGAACAACGCCCCTTGCGTATGCCTCATGCAATCGGCCTCAAAGCACAACCTCCAAGCCGAAGCTGATGAAAAGCCCGACGTAAATGAAAATACTCACATTCCAATTCTCATCCTGATTCTTCTCTGCCGCTTCTAGGAGCAGCTCCTGGATCACGAGGAAGAGCACTGCGACTAAAGAGAAGCTGACAAGGCCGGTGAAGACAAAACACTGCTGCAGGGCCGCGCCGATGGCATAGGCCCCAACACCGAAGCCAGCAAGGCACAGCGGAGGGAGCGCAAGCAAAGGCACAAGGACACCAGGGCTTCGCTTCGCTTGCTTCACGCCTGACATGAGCGTGCAGGCGAAGCTGTAGCCAAGGAACCCCATCTCAATGACAGTGGCGATGGCCATGAGCATCCCTGCACCAACAGACGTGGAAGTCGACAGACCGATCAGCATGCCATCCACAGCTGCATCAATGGCGACGGCAAAAACGAGGCCCCAGGGCAATCCGGGCAAGCTGCCGTGCTCCTCACAAAGTTGTGAGGCTTGAGATGCTGTGCGACGCAGGGCCCATCGGCGAAACGACCCTGGAGTCGTTTGCGCATGCAGCCGCCTCACGCTTGCGCTTGCACGCTGGAGCTGCCAATCCATCGCACCAACCTTGCGCGGACTCATCCCCTGCAATGCCTCGACGTCCTGCACGAGCTCTGCAATCTTCGCACGGGCCTCCTGAGTAGCCGTCCCAGTGAGGACATCGACGCCATGGCAGGTCCGGCGCATGCAATCAATCGCAAAATCCATGAGGTGCAGATGCTCGTCGAGACTGTCCACGTCGATGTCACCCTCGTCCTTCTGGATTTTACTGAGTGCACTTATGGCAACATCCAGATTGGAACCCCCAGTACGCAACTTGGCGATCTGTGCAGTCGCCATGCGCTGCACAGCCACGCTCCCAGGCGAAGCGGGAGCTTCCGCGTCCTCCAACTCGGCAGTGCTGGCCTTGTGCAGAACCTCCTCAACAGCCTCAACAGGGCTTTGGGAGTGCTCGAGCGAATGGAGGCCGTACATCACTCCAAGGGCCAGCAAGAAGCCTACCAAAGCCGACAGGCAGTTCGAGACCTCCACATGCTTTGCACCGTCTTCACCGATGAGGCGATCGTGCAGCATTGGGTAAATCTCCGCGAGCAACGCACCAATCAGGAGCCCAGCCGACAAGTTTTGGAAACGTGCTTGCACAATGTCTGAGGGCACGCCGAGGCGCACGGCCATCGAGCCAAAGGTCATCGACAGCGCCGGCGCAGCTACGAGCAGCGTTGCGATGGCATAGCCATGACCCTCGCCCAACAAATTGTCGTGCGGCGACATGATGGAAGCCATGGTAGCGTCTGGGGGTCTGGGAATTCAGGCTCTGCTGAACACTCTGCGGCACGAGGCATTTCGTTTCATGGTATGAACAAGCATCGGGTTTACAACTGCATCTGGCAAGCTATCCACCTCTTGCCCCCTACTCGAACAACAAGGTCTTCAGTCTCTTGCCTGCCTGCAAGGAGAAGCGAAGCTATCGAAACAAACCTGTGTCCTTTGGCTGTTAACCTCACGATGCAAGATGCTGCTACGAGGGCAAAGACGATTGAGTTTCCTCTCTGCCCCACCCCACCTCTCTTCCCCTCCCTCCTCCCACGACTCCCCCCCGCGTCCCCCCCATGCTCACCTCAAAACTCGCTTGTCGGCCTAGTTTGGTAAACTTAATTAACTAATAAATGAATGACTAGCAGCAACCGGCAAACTGCTATTTTTGCGCGATGATCGTTCCAGGTCGGTGTGCCATGAACGCACCGTGTACTCCCTCTGTTGTCACATGATGAGGTGTGATGCGGCTATGCGAAATGTGCAGGTTCCGATGGCTCGCAAAACCAGCGAGTTAGAAAGGGCTCAGCTCGTTTGGTGTAGAGAATGGCTAATCAACAAGAATGACTTCAAATCGCTTCCATGGGATGCATAAAAATTGTGGGAGGGCGCAGCCAAGTTGGTAGTTCCCACAGAATTAAACTCAATCATTGTGGCAATCAGGCGAGCGCGAAGACTAAACACAAGTGTCCGGTATTGTTGCAGGCTTTCTTTTCACAACTGGCATTTCATGGCCGAGAACTTCGTTCCACCGACAGTAGGCGAGCTGAGTGTGCACAACGCGGCAAACCAAGATCTTGGAGCGAAGATGGCACCCTGTACGGCGGCTTCAATTGCGATGGAACAGGAAGCCCATTCCACGGGGCCCACACGGGGAAGAGGAAGGATGTCGAAGAGTGAGCCGAACCCCAAATTCGGGAAGGGATGGCAGGGTTCACGTAGACGAAGGCAAGGGAAAGGGGAGCCTAGCGGTCCAAAGACTTCAGCAAATCAAGCAGACCGGAGAACTCAGTCGGTCGCGGTTCCTCTGCGCACAGCATCGCTGCTGTTTGAGTTACAGAAGAAGCTGGGCCAGGTGGAGTGGAAATCTCGATCTCCCATCTTACTAGCCACCAGTCACGAAAGAAAAATGACAATACTTACTGGCCCTATCTGATGTGGGATCCAAATCGCAAGAAGTACAAGGACGAGTCCAAGAAGCCAATGAGGCAGGAAAAGTGGACAGAAAGACACAGGCAACCCGGACAGCGTTGACGGTTTTCGGCCGTCCCGGAAGCTGTCGAACAGAACATGACACGCCGCTTCAGCATCTCTCTCTCTGCTGGCAAAGTGAAGGTTTGGAAAAGGGGGACGCGACTGTATCAGCGCTCGGGCACCCCCAGGCTACATCCGCACAAATCCGCACAAGAGACACGCTGCACTCCAACATCACTCGCTCCAGCATTGCTCCTGGCAGTGACGCGATTGTCTCAAAGCTCACCGCTCCACCTATCCAAATGGGGACATGTGTTCCCAAGCTAACTTCGCCAAGTAAATACATTATCAAGTTTCGTATCATAAGGTCGTGCCCTCTTCTGAGCAACAATGTTCTCACGAATACATTGCTGGCCTCCTACATAAACATGCCTTGACAGTTCTTTCCCCCTCGCAAAGCATCATGTCCTCTCTCATTTCATAGTTCGGTCATATGCTTCGACCCGCACATGCCATAGAACACCAGGCCATTTTGTTCCAAGTAGCCCACGCGTATCGTAAATTGCACTGACGTAGGCCGGGCCACCCCCACTGAAATCACAAGGACGCAGCTTGTCATCGCTACCGCTACCATGCTGGGCAACCACAGCGGATGTAGCGCAAGCCTGTGCTGTAGGTGTGCCTCCAAACTTGAGCGCAAAACAAGACGCTGGAGGTGTCAGGCTGTTCCCTGCGATGCTTTCGCGTTGCGTGGGAAGCCATACGTTAAGACGGCGAGAACCAGCTGTGTGTGGACCAGGAGTTTGGGGGTACTTGAGATAGAAGGGTGACGGAAAGAGTCTTAAGCTTGGCAGCCTGAAAGGCTTGAGAGTTTTTTTCGGGTCCTCTGTGGCAGAAGCATTCGTGGTGAGCACCGCTCTAAGGTAGTCGGCATGATCTGTAGGGGTGTCTTGGATCAGGGTGTGGGTCTAGAGCTCGACAATGACAAGGTCAGGGGGAGCATAACCATTTGCATGGAAAGCGCAGACGTGGAGGCGTCCGCTGCACCACAATAAAAACCTTTGGTGGTTCTTCTGGATGCCTCATTACCGTTTAACTACATCGACCCGTTCGTGAACTGAGCGCGTGAGGATCCTGTTTCACACAGTGCTTAAAGTTGGCCCTGCCTTGTTGGTCTTGGCTTTGGCCGGTTGCGGTGGGTTTTGTTTAGGTGAAGTTTCACTTCGACTCCAAGTGAACGGCCTACTGCGCCGCTGACGCGGTGAAAGGGCGTATACGCAAAAAACGAAATGACATGTGTCCGCTGCGCAAAGTTGTCGCAGGTACACTGGCTCTTATCAATTCCGGCGCGGCGCAGTACAATGGCAGAGTCGATCTTTGGAGGGTATCGGGTAATGTGCATTATAATGCATTTAGCTTTGTTGGACAGATAAAGTTTGCTATACATTTCTGGTTCAAAGAAAATGTGGCGAATTACAGGCGTGAATTCCCTTCCTAGCACGCCCAAGCACCCGCCAAACATCCCAAAACCCACCCTAAACCCTAAACCCTAAACCCTAAACCCTGAACCCTAAACCCTAAACCCTAAACCCTAAACCCTAAACCCTAAACCCTAAACCCTAAACCCTAAACCCTAAACAGCTTCTGGAAGCCGTAGATTATGTTTCCCCACCGAACACATCGCCGCATGGCAGCATTTTTTTTGGGAAGTTCGCCTCTCTACTACGTCAGTAGCCCAGCAAGCATGTTTTCTCGACCTGTTGTCGTACAGAAAGTGAGACGCTGTACAAGCTAGCGGGCGTAGAAGCAGTCGTGCCTACAAAGAAGCAACCACTCGCGCAGAAGCCCTTATTGCAAAGTTTCTTAACACAAGGCCAGCGATGTGAGACCAAAAATCAAACAAGAAACTACCGGGCCATTCTCTCAGCTGCCCGACACCCATAGCAATGCTGCGCCACGTCTGGTACAAACATTAATGGGTAGGCCGTAAGGCAAAGAACCTCCGACACCTAAAATGCCCAACGAGTCCGAATAGACAGTCCCCACACAAGCGCCAGGCCGTAGCGAAAACACAGCACTCAGTACACCGGCTGGCTTGAAGAATGAATGTGTGAATGCACGCTGAAAGGCCAAAGAGCAGTTGTAAGCGGCCACAAGATCCGAAGCCGCTGGCCAGCAGGGCGTTGGTGGTGCAACGAAGAAGATGGAGACCCCAGCTATCTTAGCTGCCCCGCGCAGCGGCCGCTTTTTGCAAAGACCGCACTTTGCTGCGAGCAGGTACTTGCTGCAGGGTCGGAGCGCAGACTAGTAGCTGCAGGTACAGTGCTTGCACAGCTCGAAAGGGCCGCTTGGTGACTTTTGCCTCGCAGCGAAGGCCCCGCGCAGCCTCTTTTTGGGCAGGGGCGCCAACATACTCGACCTGCAGGGATGCTTGTCCAAGGATCTTCATAACTTGACTGCCCCGCCGCGCAGCAGCCGATTTTTTGCGCATTTTTACGACAGCCAGGCAAGCACGGGTGCTGGGCCTGCAGCGTCACAGGAGCGCGGCAGTTCTGCAGGGGCTGGCCAATGGGCGAACTTCCAGGCAGTCTGCAGTTTGGAAGTTGCAGGGACTGCAAAGAGGCTTCCTTGCTGCTGAGCCTGCGCTCAGCGTGGCAGGCTTCCCGGGACATCAAGCTAACTGCAGACCAAATGCAAGTCAACTGCAGGGCTGTTGAGTTTGCTGCTGGGTGTAGGGCGCGGCTCATAGCATGAACAGGCAAAGGGCCAAGTCCTGAAAGCCGATCTCCCAAGTCCCGAGGGACATAGGCTTCAGGTTCGCAATTTCTCTCCCTGCTGCTTCCAGGCATAAGCTTCAGGTTCGCGATTTCTTTTCTTGCTCCGAGAGCCCATAAGCTTCAGGTTCGCGACTGCTCCCAAGTCCCGAAGGCCCATAAGCTTCAGGTTCGCGATTTCTCTCCCTGCTGCTCCCAGGTCCCGAGGGCCCATAGGCTTCAGGTGCACGGACCCAGCACGCGACACCCTCCCAACCCCTGTCATTCATGATCGGAGACCATGGAAACCGTGGACCTGAACCGCGTGACACCCACCCCGCCCCATTGCGCTCATATCGGAGACCATGGGAGACCACGGACCCAAGTGACACTTTTGTTCCTGAGGAGAGGACCCCAAACGGGTCCTGTTTGGGGAATCATCGCCTCCTGCTGTTCAACGGAATCGCTTTCGTCTGAGTAGAGGAGGACTTCGCTGAGGGGTATATTAAACCATCTTCGGGGCGCAAAGCAACAATCTCGGAGCTCTAACCGCCAGATCTGCGTTGAGAGCCTTCAAATGCAAGATCTGCAGACCTGCAGACGACCTCCACACACAAGGATGCACACAGACGATGGCGACTACCCTGCTTTGGCGACATCTAGTGGCTGGCTTGAGCTCATTAGCTACTTTCGCTTCACTTCGATTTGTACAGACGCTTGTTTAACTGACAAGGATACCTTGAGTCGAATATTTCGGGTATCCGTCAGAGCTTGAACGGGATGCTTTGGTTGGGTTGCTTGGTTGCTTTGTTCTGCCGTTTCTTTTGCCGGGAGCCCGTTCTTGCCGCTTTGCTTAGTTCTCTTTTTCACACTGACATGCCAAAGAACACTCACTGAAGTGCATGAAGATCGGCAAGTAAATGCAAGGCAGCATAGGGCTTGCATCTTGAGGAGAAATGGACATCTTTAAAACTACACCTCGACTTGCGCGGAAGGACTCAAGGCCATCTTGCAGACCCCAAA